TGGCGAACACCAAGACGCTTGCTGAGCCCCACGCACTTGCCGGAGGGGCGCCACAGATCATGAGCTCCTAAAGGATACTTGGAGGTTCATGGCTAGTTTATACGTGAGGCTATAAGTCCCTTAATATGGGTTATAAGTATAGTTATCCTACACTTCTTACCCCATTTATAACTACCCATCAGCCTCCAAGAAAGGATCCCCCCGCTTTTTGTTCGAGCTTTGGCTCTATGTGGTTCTATATTGATGACAGAGATGCCCTTAAGTGCCCCCCAAAAGCCTCAGCTTGTAGCTGTCTTGGCCATCTTCAACAAGGCGGGGCAGGCTCAGAGCTTATTCTAGTCGATGGCCTCGGAATTCATGTTCCGCGGTCCCGAGTCGCCTCCGCGGCCGCTTCTGCAAACACTCCCGCGGTCCCCTGCTGCCGTGCCCTTCGCCGTCGCTGTCGCGCGCTTCCGCAGAGCCGTTGCCGACCTTCCCCTGCACTCGCTTCGGGCTCCCTTCTGCAGTTGGGTAGTTTTCTAAATTGGTGTCTCCTTTTTATAAGGGTGCCGTACCATATTGGGGCCCCAAAAGGGACCCTAATTTAGAGAAACTACCCAGTTGCTTTCTCTGTCGGTCAGTCGCTGCCACAGCCGCTTCCGAGGAATCCTCTGCAGTACTTTTCGTAGACTTTCGGTGTCCCCGCCGCGGCGTCACTTTTTTTGCAGTCGCGACGGGGCGCCTTCCGCCGTCGCATCCGGTCGTGTAGAGGTCACTCGAGGTCCCTTCCATCCTGTATCTTACCTAAACCCAGAGAGCCCAATACCCCTTAATTGAGGAATATACCTTGAATTATAGGGGCTGTAATATTATGATTTAAAGTATATTCCTTAATTAAGGGGTATTGGGCTCCTTGGGAACCCTGAACCCCAAACCCTAAACCGAGGATCACTTCCGTAAATTTTCCGGACCACCCGGGCAGTCGAACTACAGCGTCCCCTGAACTGGTTTCTCAGCCACGGCGCTGGGGCAGAGCCGGTGTTGTTGCCTCGGCTGTCTTCTGTGGAAAATCCGCCGCATTCCTCTGAAATTCACTTTCGGGCTTCAAGCATCCATGTGCGAAAGTAGCCCTAAAGACCAGAGAATAGTTAGACCAAGACTTTGATATACCAGAAAGCGACGAGGCTCATTCCAGCCTGCACTAAACACGCAACGCCCACCACCTCATTCAGAAAAAATCCGGCAACTCCAAAACTCCCTAAGCTCCGACTATCCCCATGGCCCACTTACGAGTGTAAAATCTGCCACGCCCAGCTGCAAGGCATGGCCAGCCAGTCAGCCCAGGTCGCTGGACTCGACAGGGGGGTTTAGGGTTTAAGGTTTAGGGTTTAGGGTTTAGGGGTTTCACGACATGAATTCTGATTGGTTTTTGGTGGCCCGCAGTTGGTTCCGGGAAGAAAGGGATGCACTGGAACAAAGACAAGCTTGGTTGACATTAAAGCTGTCGGGGGCAGGAATGAAATCTAGCCTGTCAAACCCTCTTAGCAAAACAATCTGAGGCAAACCTTGCCCTGACCTACCACAGCTCACACTGCCACTCGGATCGGAAACTGCACACCATGACGGAACCCTTGTGTAAGGCTTCTCTAGCATCTCATTCCCTGTCTCGTGTGCACAGGACCTCAGGATATGGAGGCAGAGGCTGACCACCCTAAACCCATAACCCCAAAACCCAAACCCCAGAGCTCTTCCGAAGCATGAGAACGCCCACTGCCACCTGGTGCCCACCACCGCGTAGTCCCCGGGAGCGATCTGCGGCCGGGCCTGCAACCGGCAGGCCTTTCCTCTACTTGGAGGTTCACGGGTTAGGGATTTAGGGTTGAGGGTTTTGGGGCTTAGGGTTTAGGGTTTAGGGCTTTAGGGTTTAGGATCTAGGGTCTGGGGTTGAGGGGTTTAGGCTTTAGGGCTTAGGGCTTCGGGGGTTTAGGGCTTTGGGGGTTTAGGGTTTTGGGGGCTTAGGGTTTAGGGTTCAGGGCTTTGGGCTTAAGGGGCAAGATCTTCATGCTGGGCTTTTGCTACTGCTCCTTCGGTTGTCGAAGGGCTGCGCCTAGCTGCTCTGTCTCCTCGTTGCTCCTCCTCTGTTGGCTGCGTCCTTCAGATACGGCCAGAGCCGAGCATGATATGGTTGATGATATAAATGCTGCATTCTCCATCATAAGGAATATACCATAACTCCCATAGCTTAGGGTCCTGAAGGTAATGCAGGATGTAGATCATCAACAGTAGTCCTGAACTCCACAAGCTCGACCCCCAAAGCTCCGGGGCTCAGAATCCAAAGCTCGCGGTCCTCCAGACCCTACTTAAAAACCCTGAACCCTAAACTCCTAATCCATAAACCCCGAAGCCCCCTACACCCTAAGCCCCCTAGACCCTAAACCCCTAAACCGTAAGCCCCCTAGATCCTAAACCCCTAAGCCCCCTTGGACCCTAAGCCCACTAAACCCTAAACCCTAAACGCCAAACCCTCAGCCCCCTAGACCCTAAACCCTAAACGCCAAACCCGACAGCCCCCAGACCCCCATAGAATTTGGGGGTTTTGGGCTTTGGGCTTTCACGGGCGTCGAAGCCCGGAGGCCCCAAAAAATCGTCAGGACGCACCGGCGATCCAAGGGGGGCGGGGGTTATAGTGTTCCTTTAAGGGTTCTATGGGGTTCTATAGGGTTTAGGGTTTGGGGGGGGTAGTTATGAATGGGGTCACAAGCAGGGTAACTATACCTATAACCCATATTAGGGGACTTATAACCCCACTTATAACCACCCATGAACCTCCAAGTAGCGTAGTGGAGGGAGAAGTTGGCAAGCCTATCGACAAGCCACCCGGAGCAAGGCGATGCAGTGAATCAAATGAGTGGTTCTCTGAATAAGGGTCCCTGTACAAATCCCCAATATAGTACGGCACCCTCATAAAAAGGACCCTAACTAAGGGACCCAATTTAGAGAACAACCCAAACCCAGAAAACAGCTCCAGGGCGGCGCCTGTCCGCACACGGCGGTGCTGGGGAAGGCCACCAACCGATCCTCTGTGCAGTCACTTCGGTCCCTAGGTGTCGAGTTTACCTACGGACACTGAGAGACCCTAAAGACCCTAAAAACCCTGAAAACCCTAAAACCCCTAAACCCTGAACCGTGTTGTACAGCCATGCAGGTCTAGATGCTTCCGGGCGGGATGGGCTGCCTGGAAGCCTCGCAACTGTGCAGATCGCCTAGTTTCGGAATTTGCGTGCAGCAGACCCAGAGACTCCAAACCCCCTTAATTAAGGAATATACCTTAAACTATAATAGGAACCCTAATATTCCTTAATTCAGGGGTTTTGGAGTCTCTGCGGAGGTCACATAAAAACCGGGAGAATGCAACTCCCTCTGTCTGCTTCAGAGGGCTTTGAAAAGCAGTGGAAAACCCAGGATCCTTGGGCCGTCGGATTTTGAAGAAGCCCTTCGTTGCACGACGACTTGAGGCGACTGCCTCAGACAGACGTGAGGATGACAACCACTTCGACGTCGGACATCTCTAGACTTCAGGAAGTAGCGCAGCCACAGCTGGAAATGGAGCCCCCGCCAGCCCAAACCCGAAAACATGAAGAAGAGCTAAACCCTAAGCCCTAAGCCCTAAACCGGATTTCTCCAACAAAAAAAGAGACACACAACTCCGCCAAAACCCGACCCCCCTGCTGAAGGCTCAAGCCCGAAAACCCTGAGCCGCCCGGCGAAGCTGGTGTCGAAGTGTTCACCCTTCAAGGAGATCGTGAAGGGAATCCTTGGAGTAGGTGACTTGAAGGATCCAGGGTTTAGGTCTACGGGGCTTTAGGGTTTAGGGTTTACGGGGCTTTGGAGTTTAGGGTTTATGGGGGCTTCACGGGGTTTTTTAGGGTTTACGGGGCTTTAGGGCTGAGGGCTTGCAGGATTTACGGGCCTGGAGCATCCATCGATTTCCTGAGATTCGACGTGACCCAGACGCACAATCAGAAGATCGGTTGGAGAACCCCTCAAACTCGACCCAACCTCAAACCCCGACCTAACCCTAAACCCTAAACCCTAAACGCCAAAACCCACCCTCGGTTTGCAGAGTCGGTTTTTGGGCGTTCAGGTTAGTCTGTAGCTCCGTGTCGCCAGGACCTCCCAGAAACCTCTTCGGCTGCTTGGGCGAACCTGTGCCCGTGCCACATCCTCACTGCCAGCATAGCCTTCATTGCACTAATTACCTGGCTCCGAGCCTGATATGCATGCATGCACGCATGCATGCACGCAGGCAGGTAGGTAGGTAGGTAGGTAGGTACGTATGCATGCATGTATGTCTGTGTGTCTGTGCGTCTGTGTGTCTGTGTGTCTGCGTGTCTGTGTGTCTGTGTGTCTGTCTGTCTGTCCGTCCGTCCGTCCGTCCGTCCGTCCGTCCGTCCGTATGTATGTATGTATGTATGTATGTATGTATGCATGTACAATCCATCCATCCATCTATATATATATATATGTAATAGATAGATACATACATACATACATACATACATACATACATATACATACATACATATACATACATACATATACATACATACATACATACATACATACATACATACTCACGTGTTGGTTTTATTGGCTCATTGATTTGTTTTATCTTATTCACCTACTTCTAGAACATATCATGTGTAGATGTATAAGAGCTAAACATAATGGGGAAAAAATATTTTTCCCCATTATGTTTAGTATCAACATAAACAGAGCATCCAACAGAGAAGGTTCAGCTTCGGGGGCCGATGCCATGCCTGGGCGTAAATTCGGGGCATCCTGCGCCGCAGTCCTACGGTCCTACACGCTATTCCGAAGACGGGGCTCAGGGTTTAGGGTTAGTGCAGCCTCGAGAGGCCATGTGTCTCAGCGCTGTTTTGCACCACATCCGATCTTGCAACGCTTTTGGTTCGCCGCCTCTCTCAACAGACGGACAATCTCAGTGTGGCCTTATACTTCTACTGGCCAACAGCCCCAGCCTCGACCAGCAAACGGACAACTTCGGTGTGGCCGTTAGAAGCCGCGCGTGCAAGAGCAGACTCGCCGTCCAGAGCGCGCGCGTCCTTATCCAGAAGTAGTCGGACTATCTCAGAGTGGCCGTGGCAGGCTGCGGGCATCAGAGCTTCACTGCAATCGACGCCAGCATCAAGCAGCAGTTGTATAATCTCGGTATCCCCTGCGCAGGCCGCAAGTATCAGACTCGGAGAACATCTTCCATCCAAGCCGCGCAGATCTTTGTCAGCACCAGCATCCAGTAGACGATGGGCCGTCTCGATGTGGCCGTTGCAGAGTGCGTGTGCAAGAGCAGACTTGCCGCTTAGATCGCACGCGTCCTTGTGAGCCCCAGCATCCAGGAGAAGTTCAGCAATCTTGGTGTGGCCGCTAGAAGATGCATGGATGAGAGCTGTCTTGTGCTTCGCATCCGGCGAGTTCGTGTCCGCGCCCGCCTCTACCAGCAGGCGTGCCACCTCCGCGCGGCCCTTGTGCGCCGCGACTCTGAGAGCTTGGCCGTGGAAGTCCTTGTCGGGACACACGCGAAGCAGAAATTGCGTCACTCTGGCAGGACCCTCCTCGGCAGCGTAGGACACCAGCTCGGCTCCGACCGCGAGCCTCTGCTGCTTGCTAGCATCCATGGACAGCAGCAGCTGCAGCTCGCAGGGTGAAGTGACGTAGTGAGCATCCTCCAAGCAGACGCCATCACAGATCAGTCGCTGCAGGCAGGCCGGGAAGCCGTGCTCCGTGCGCAGATGACGCTTCAGGTCCCAGACGCGAATCTTCTGCCTCGACACGGGAGCCAGCTCCTCTCCGGAGGCCAACCAAATCCGCAGCATTGCAGGAACCCAGAGCCAGCTTGAGGATCTGCAGCTGCAGGCATCAAAACAAACACTGGATCACCACCGCTTCCCGGCCCTGTGGGGTACTTCGCACCCTTGCTCCCAGGGCTCGCTGGGTCTACGTGAATGCCGCAAGCACCAACAAATTATGCCCTCAACCATGAGCCCTTCAAAAGCGAAGTCCTGAACTCCCAGAATCCACTTCACCCAAACGGCGCTCTGCCTACCTCTCTAGGACCCCAACTCCGCGGTTCAGGGGCTGTTCTCTTTCTTTTACATATCGGCTCAGGCTGCAGAGTTTCGGATCTTAGATGTCGAGTGTAAGCTTCCACGCTTGGAGGGACATCCGATGAGTCAGGCAGTATCGTCCTACCCCTAAACCCTAACCGAAGCACAGCAAGGCTCGGGCTTTGTGATGTAGGGGCCTAAATAATGAGAATTACACCAGACTCATAATAAAGAACCCCTAAAATTGTATTGGTAATGCTTTAGACCCCTATAGCTATATTAAAACCCTAAACCCTAAACCCTAAACCTCAAACCTCAAACTCCTAAACCTCAAACCCTAAACCCCTCAACCCCTAAACCCCAAAAACCCTAAACCACCCTATGGCCGCTCCGATCCGCCGGGTCACCCTCGGACGATGGGCGTCGGGCTGGTCTCGTAGAGGTTGCCTCGAGGCCGGAAGTAGAGCACGGAACCTGGGGGATTTTGTTTGGTTTAGGGTTTAGGGTTTAGGGGTTTAGGGGTTTAGGGGTTTAGGGGTTTAGGGTTTAGGGGTTTAGGGTTTAGGGGTTTGGGGCTTTGGAGGCAATCTATTTAAGTTACCATACTCTGGATCTATAGTAAATAATATAGGTTTTGCTTACAGAAAAAAGAAACACCGGCTCTTGAAGGCCTATAAATGGGGCTTTATAGGGTCCCTTTAAGGGCTCTTTAGGGTTTAGGGGTTTAGGGTTTAGGGTTTCCTTGGAGGTTCATGGGTGGTTATAAATGGGGTTATAGTAGGGTGACTATACTTGTAACTTATAACCCATCTTTGGGGACTTATAACCCCACTTTGTAACTACCCATGAGCCTCCAAGGAAACCCTAAACCCTAAA